GAAGTAGTGTATGCTCATCGAGGCCAAGCATCCACTCCAGAACCTGAGCCTGAGCCGGAACCTACACTGGACCCTTATCGTACATCATCTTACCAGTGGGATACGGAGGATATGGCCAGCCCTGGTATCCTCATTACACCCCTCAGTACACCGGTGAGAGTAGTCGTGGTCCTTGGCATTAGACCAACTTAGGCCAAAAGCCTAAGCTTGGGGGAGTACGTATTTTTCACCGACTTTACATTCATGTTCACACACTATTCTAGTCGTCGGTGCTCATACTCTTTCATTGTATTATCCATGCTAGTTTAATTTTCTTATTCTAGTTTTCTTCTTGTGTGTTTGATAAACCTTAAGAAAAACCAAAAAAATAGTTAGTTTATTTTCCATGCTTGTAGTAGAATTAAAATGAAAACCAAAAAGAATTCTCGTTCTTCTTTTTACTTGTTGGGAGCTTTCCCGTGTAGATAGTTTTATTTTCTTTTCTTTCCTTTGGGGGTCGAGAGTAGAAGACCATATTGAAAATGCTTAGTGGCTCTCATATGCAAGATTGTTTATTTAACTTAGAGCCCATATTACTTTGTCTTCTCTCTTGAATTAAATGCTTGTAGATTCCAGCTTAGTCCAATGCACGTGCACTATTATTATTATACACACCGTCCGCTCGTGCAAGTGAAAGGCAATAATGACGATATATGATGGACTGATTGAGATGAGAAAAGCTGGTATGAACTCGACCTCTCTTGTTTTTGTAAATATGATGAGTTCATCGTTCCTGATTCAGCTTATTATGAAGTAAACATATTTGCAATGACATTTAGAGATTATAGTTGCTTGTGCCATGCTTGATTAGATATGAGTTATAATGGTTTACCTTGCGTGCCAACATGCTATTAGAATGATTATGATGTGGTATGATGAGATGGTATGCTCCTTTGAATAAATTGAGTGACTCGACTTGGCACATGTTCACGCATGTAGTCGAAACAAATCAACATAGCCTTCACGATATTTATGTTCATGGTAGATTATATCCTACTCATGCTTATACTCGGTGTGAATTAATTTTAATGCATGTTCATGACTGTTGTCGTTCTCTCAGTTGGTCGCTTCCCAGTATTTTGCTAGCCTTCACCTGTACTAAGCGGGAATACTGCTTGTGCATCCAAGCTCCTTAAACCCCAAAAATTATTCCATATGAGTCCACCATACCTTCCTATATGCGGTATCTACCTGCTGTTCCAAGTAAATTTATATGTGCCAAACTCTAAACCTTCAAATGAAATTATGTTTTGTATGCTCGAGCAGCTCATGTTTCAACTAGGGCTGCCTATATCTTCCATGCTAGGTGGGTTATTCTCAAGAGGAGTGGACTCCGCTCCTCATTCACGAGAAAGGGCCGGTAACTGGGATGCCCAGTCCAATGATCCAAAAAGATCAAAGCAAATCAATATAATTAAAAAAACTCCCCCAGGGTTGTTGTTAGTTGGAGGCACTCGTTGTTTCGAGCAAGCCATGGATTGATGCTTGTTGGTGGTGGGGGAGTATAAACTTTTACCATTCTGTTTAGGAACTGCCTATAATGCATGTAGTATGGAAGATACAGCCATCTCATAGTTGTTGCGTTGACAGCGAAAGTATGCCACTCAAAATGTTATTCAATCTCTATTTTAAAATCGAGCTCTGGCACCTCTACAAATCACTGCTTCCCTCTAAGAAGGGCCTATCTATTTACTTTTATGTTGAGTCATCACCTTCTTATTAAAAAGCACCCGCTGCAGAGCACACTGTCATTTGCATTCATTATTATTAGTTTATATTGGGTATGACTTGACTGGATCTCTTTTACCATGAATTACAATGTTTAGTCAGTCCTTGATCTTTAAAGGTGCTCTGCATTTATGTTTTGCGGTCTCAGAAAGGGCTAGCGAGATACTATTTTGTTATATCATGTTATGATTGTTTTGAGAAAGTGTTGTCATCCGAGTTTTATTATTATGGCTCGCTAGCTGATTATGCCATTGATATGAGTAATAGTGAGACCTGGGTGTTATTATGAGTATGGTTAGTTCATAATATTTGCTGAAACCTGAATGTTGGCTTTGCATGTTTACAACAACAAGAGCAAATAGAGTTTGTAAAAGTTTTTCTTTATCACTTTCAGTTTATCAACTGAATTGCTTGAGGACAAGCAAAGGTTCAAGCTTGAGGGAGTTGATACGTCTCCAACATATATACTTTTCCAAACACTTTTGCCCTTGTTTTGGACTCTAACTTGCATGATTTGAATGAAACTAACCCGGACTGACGCTGTTTTCAGCAGAACTGCCATGATGTTGTTTTATGTGTAGAAAACAAAAGTTCTCGGAATGTCCTGAAAATCCTCGGAGGCACTTTTTGGAAAATATAAAAAATACTGGAGAAAGAATCAAGACCAGGGGGCCCACACCCTGTCCATGAGGGTGGGGGGCGCGCCCTCCCCCCTGGGCGCGCCCCCTTTCTCGTGGGCCCCTTGAGGCTCCGCCGACCTCAACTCTAACTCCATATATTCCGTCTCGCAGAGAAAAAATCAGAGAGAAAGTTTCATCATGTTTTACGATACGGAGCCACCACCAAGCCCTAATCTCTCTTGTGAGGGCTGATCTGGAGTCCGTTCGGGGCTCCGGAGAGGGGGATTCGTCGCCGTCGTCATCATCAACCATCCTCCATCACCAATTTATGATGCTCACCGCCGTGCGTGAGTAATTCCATCGTAGGCTTGCTGGACGGTGATCGGTTGGATGAGATTTACCATCTAATCAAGTTAGTTTTGTTAGGGTTTGATCCCTAGTATCCACTATGTTCTGAGATTGATGTTGCTATGACTTTGCTATGCTTAATGCTTGTCACTAGGGCCCGAGTGGCATGATTTCAGATCTGAACCTATTATGTTTTCATGAATATATGTGTATTCTTGATCCTATCTTGCAAGTCTATAGTCACCTATTATGTGTTATGATCCGACAACCCCGAAGTGATAATAATCGGGATACTTCTCGGTGATGACCGTAGTTTAAGGAGTTCATGTATTCACTATATGCTAATGCTTTGTTCCGATTCTCTATTAAAAGGAGGCCTTAATATCCCTTAGTTTCCGTTAGGACCCCGCTGCCACGGGAGGGTAGGACAAAAGATGCCATGCAAGTTCTTTTTCCATAAGCACGTATGACTATTTATGGAATACATGCCTACATTACATTGATGAATTGGAGCTAGTTCTGTATCACTCTATGTTATAGCTATTACATGAGGAATCGCATCCAACATAATTATCCATCACTGATCCAATGCCTACGAGATTTTCACATATTGTGCTTCGCTTATTTACTTTTCCGTTGCTATTGTTACAACTAGTTGATCCGTTGTGCCAAATGGCGCAGAGAGCTGCTGAAGACATGTTGTCGATGAAAATAGTTTCATGTTGCAGGAACCTTCAACTAAAGCCATGTTCGCGATGAAAATAGTTTTTTTACTAAGGACAGGCCATGTATATACAGTCGGTATAGTTGTGGTCTGCTAAATCCATATGCGCCTTGAAGAAAAACATGGTTTAATTTGCAGAGCCTCACGTGTTTCAAGTATGAATAGGAACTACGAACTCTTTTTGTGCAATTCAAACACATTTTCAGAGGTTTTATTTCTTAGTACATGTTGTCTAAGGTAACATTTGCCCAAAGAGAGAGAGAGAGAGAGAAGCATACCCCTTTCTCATTATGATTATTATTAAAAGGTATTAAATTTGAAATAGACAATTTCATTTACTTGAAGCACTTGAATAAAAGAGAATTTAGACATACTTTTACGCAATGGTCATTTAACCTGTGAACGACTACGCAATGCTCATTTAACGTGTGAAGGACAAAAATATTCCACCATCTCTGAATGATGAACTAAATTAAATTAAAAATATATGCAGTAAATTCATTCAAAGTAGAAAAGGGATCTTACATTAAATAAGGCATTACAACAAACATGGTGTTATCTTAGTAAAAGAAATTACATCATTAGAAGAGAAAAGGGAAGAAAACCAAACATGAGATTGAGATTAATACATCTAGGAGGAGGTCGTAGACATCACTGTGATCATTTTGCGGCCTGGGGAGCAAAGGATCCATGGTTTTTATATGCCCTGTCCGGCTGCTGGAGTAAATGACATGGAAACGTCATCTCTACCATCTCGATGGCTTAGACCCAGGGAGCCGGATGTTCATCTCGGCCCTCCCCAGCTTTCATCAATGGATTTTTATAGTCAGGGTTAAAGACTGAGAGGCCTTATGCATGTTCAAAGATGTGAGTAGCATATCCAATACATATCAAAGAAAAAGAAAAAAAGAAGACCACAAACATCACAATCATTCATGACACAAAGAGGGGAAACAGACACCTCAACAAGATTCTTGAGGAAGTGCCCAAGGAAAGAAAAAAGAACGTTAGGTCTGAACGTTAAGAACATGCTCATAAATATGAATTGTCAAGGGCAAGATGAAATGCGAGAACAAGCACTGATGAGTAATGATATACTGAAAAATTCCTTTCTTTGTTGTTGTTAGCCCTTGTTTTTTAATATACATTGAGGCACTCAGGTTGTACTCATATCTACAACCCAATATCGTAGCTCTTTTCTTTAACAACCTACAGACAGATTGAACAAATGGAGATTGCTATATGGTGGACTACCTACAGATTACTAACTTTACAAAATCCCTCACATCCTCTCAATTTCTGATCCTATGGAATTCATTGTCATTAGGCACCTTTTCACCATTATATCCAGAATCGAACGGTTTGGGGTATGCCAGAGGGTTTTAGAATCTCCTGAGAAGCACCAAATGCTTTATTTCACTCCAGTTTTCATCATGACCATCAAATCCTGATCATGCAGTCAACAATGTCGTGCCTTTGGTGCCTTTGTTGCACAAAGGCAGAGGATATGCATCGCTCAATTATGTATGCTAACGCCTAGATCATATTCCATCTTGTTGGCACATGCAATCATGCATTGGGAAGGTGTATATGGAATCATTAGGTTCCTGCAGTTCAAAGAAACAATTTGAGTTTCATATACCACTATATCCATTTACATAGTTAAGCAAAGATGGGCAAATATTTAGAGGATGTATGTGAAGGTCAACTCGGAGATGTATTTCAATTTGTTAACATGGCTAATGCGTTCCAAAAAGTAGGCAATAGGTACAGTCTTGGATGGTGAAGGAATAACAAGGGCAGCAAACTGCTTCAGCAGTTCGATTTGGTGAAAGATTCCAACATATACTCAAAACTGAAACTGATTTGGTGTGATTTGTAATACTTTGTTGACGATATAATGGCAGCTCAAATTGACCTAATATTTGGGTCGTCAAAAGATAAGACCAGCTTCCGTTTGTCGGGTTTTATTGCCTTTGCATTCCCTCCTAATAGGTAACACCTGTGTCCCATCAAAAAGTGAGGGAAGTTCCACCCTTGAGTTGTCACAAACACTTCGCTCTGAACACAGACGGTGTAATCTAGTGCTGCTAACTGAGAAGAGTACCCCTACAGAGAATAGGTTAGTAAGTAACGGTATGAAGATTCAATGTGAATTGATGAACAGTTCAATGCATGCATATTCATCTGACATTCGGAACGACATCCAGCTAGGCTGATGGGATGGCTGGCGGAAACAATACCTCAAACTCAGCAAGCTCTTCAGACAATGCAAGAGTGTCCTTGGTTTGTAAAAGAGGGAACATCTGGCGAAGGGGAGCCATGTATTTTGTAGCATTGTATATTTTACCGAAGGCAAGATAGAGGAAGGTTGTATTGTCAAACCCCATGCCTCGCAGCATCATACCAACCTGCTCAAATTCAGTCAGTTAACATATTAGCTCTAGTGAGTATATTTACATATTTGAAAGCTTCTAAATTTGTTCTGAATGCTACTAAAGAGACGCAACTGATGGCACTGAACTTAAAGGTTATTATTATTGACCTGAAGCATCACAAACTAAGCAACAAACATCAATTCTAGTATAACAGGCCTAGGCAAACATTACAAAACACAGTGACACAGAGCCATACTAATTTCACGATACCAGTACAAAGAAAATCCTAGAATTCATAAAGTTTCAAAGACACACAACATCTGATAGTTACGACACCAACATGGGAGAGTCAGCTGACACAGACCAGAGGAAAAATACTGATGAATGCTTAAGATTTAGCATACGTTGCGATTAGCACTTGACCTCTTTCAGCTCATGTGAAGTACATGAGAGTTAGCTCAGCAGCTCCTTCCCTTGTATTATGAGAACACCAAGCTTCCATCATCATGCATTCACTCACCCACAAAGCTGAAACGGGTCAAGAGGAGCAGTTTTCGAACTTGAGTAAGTTGAATGTATGTATTAGTTCCACCTTCCCAAAGAAGCTGCAAGCATTACTATGTGATGTTGGGAATGACAAAGCGAAACAAACATCGAGGATAGCTTGTGTAAAAATATACATTAGTATGCAGCAGATTGTTTATCTAAAGTAAATATCCTGAGGATACATTGGCACAGGTAACAAATTGGACATCTGAAGTTAGTACCTAGAAAATAAAGTCACAATGCATCTACATTGTAGCTTTAGCAGTTCATTAACCTAGGATTGTGTTGAGAGATGCATGCCGTCTGAGAGACAAAGAACTAAACATGAGCTGACTATGTCAATTGATCCATCCTTTACATTTCTCAGATGGAAGGCATGGGTCCTTGCACCAACAGGCACCAGGAAGTGGTGCCAGCAATTTTGGAATCAGAGAAATTAGTATGGCATCAAGGTAGATAATAAGAAACACTAATATGGCGCCTGCAATTGTGAAAAAATAGAAATCAGTACGATATCGAAGTAGATAACAAACAACACTTCCTGATTTCTATTGTTTGTTATCTACCTCGATGTGTAACAAATAATTGATCTGGGGATGAGTAGGCTTTAGTTCGCATATTTTGTATGCTGCTTATATTATGATTGAAATGCAGCAGAACATCTTTTGGGAGTTCCTTCACAACTCTTACATGTTGTCTGAGTGTCCCGATAAAACGATCTTCATCAAAACTATCACTAAATTTGCTGAGAAACAAAACATCAGGAAGAACCAATACATATTAGAGCAAGAAGTGGAATTTCAAAAATATTCACGGGTTTATAACTAACAGAAGTGAACTTTAGAAGTCAAACAAACTGGTCTAGACACTAAAACAACGAGCAAGAGACAACTGCTCCAGACAGACATCCATCATATAAAAATGCAATTATCTAATGTTAAGAAATAAAGCAGTGAGCAAACAAAATAGCATTAGTTACCTAGGATCGCGCCAAATGCTATTCAAATGAAATACTTGGATCACAAGAGTTGCATTAAGCAAGCTGGCCACAACAACTGCATCGCAGATCTATATTGAGAAAAAAATGGAACTGCACTGTCAATAATTATTACTCGGCATAGTGTGAAGGTTCTAAGGACTTTACAAAATGAGACATCAACATCACAGCAAATGGTAGAGACCAGAGTCTAATTCTCAAGCTCTCAGGTCAGAAGAAATATATCTCTCAATAGAAGATCTGATGGCATGTGACCAAAAAGATGAAAGCAAATATCGGTGATCTTTCGATGAATAATACAACTATGTATGTACAAAGATAGTACTAATGCCTTTCCAGCACAAAGTTATTGATGAAAGCCGTCTCAATCAAAGTGATAGTACATGACTTCAAGTTACATAGTGGTGTCAATGGATTCATATGGCACTGGACTTTTGTATAGGTAATAGCAATGTATTGCTTGCTTGCTGTATCTAACGTGGTCCAAGAACTTACAGAAAGACGCTGTTGATTCAGACCACCATTTGCTTCAACTATGAGATACCCATTTGAAGTCGGCAAATCTGTAAAGAGCCCAAAAATGATCCAGCCAGTCAGGTATTTAGCTTACTCCACTCCTCGTGGCGCCCCTGCAGCCAACACAATCATCATGAGACAATGTCTGGTATCTTCTTGTAGGAAATGGAAAAAGCAAATAAAGAAATAGCAGATGCAATTGCCAACAAGGCTATACTCACTTTCATATGATCTGAAACAAGAAAAAATTGCAAGGGGCGTGAAGGGGAGAAGGATTGAGAGAAGCTCACCTTGACATCTTCCAAGCTCCTCCCGTGCACACCATCTTCAGCCGTCAGGATCTCATCCATGAAGATGCTGCTTTTCCCTATCGCCGGCCTCTCCTCCACCCCGTGAGGCGTCCGCTGCCCGGTGTTCGGCCTCGCTACTCCACCCCACACCGCTGGCCTCTTGGCCCTCCCCTGCTCTCTCCCATCCGATGCCGTGCCTGGATCGACCGGGGCAGAAAATAACCTGATATGACAAGTCAAGTTGGAATAACATAATATAGCATTCCCCCAAAATTAAGGTATAGACAAACTCTGGAAACATGCAGGATTCATGGAGACGTCTCCCCTGAAATAAATAAGTACGCCCAAATGTATGTATAAAAAAGAAACTGCTAAATTTTGAGAGGTATGATACCATCATCGGCAAGAAATGTGTGTCCCACCCCCTAACACAGTTGAAATACTACTTCCAGTGTGCAGTGAAGTTGCCAATGATAATATCAGATCTCAGATATAGCTACTTCCATTCCTTGAACCTTACATGCATGTAAAATTAACTTCCTCTCGGTAGCAGAACATATAAACAACTGAAACATAAAGTGGAAAGTAACCTGCAATGCCACGCAGCATATATTGTTGCTCCATGACCACTGCCTAAAAAAGGACTTCCCGGTTCAGTGTGCAGGTCCTCTTATATGTCACCAAGAGGAGGGAGGACACCTAGCCCTGCAAATGGAAGCAAATTCATAATGTTGCATATCACCTTTCAAGGGATAAAAAGAGCAAAAATCGATTATATGTCGTTCCTAAGTCATTTGTCCATTTCAGCTAGACAGTGCGGCACGATAGATGATCCAAACAACATGGGACAATAGTTGATTCAACAACTGGAGATGTCTTTAGCGGGTCTCTGCGCCATTTGGTTATTCCTTGGATGAAATCCATTGTTGTATCACCCAGCCTAGTACCAATTCTTGTCACAACAACAATCTCACCCAATGCTCCTTCAAGAGGATACACAAAGGATATCAGGACACCAAATTGTGCGTGTTGTAACCAGGAACCTTAATTTAGCAGCACTTTGTACAGCTCCAACTTGGTGTCATGAACTGAATTAGTGCATTACTTACACAACAGATATCAGATTAAGTAGAAGTCGATAGAAATTAGCAGAAGTGGGCTACAAAAATCAGCAGCCCATCACCTTGCAATATAGAACATACTTTCGCCGACCATCATAGATCATACCGCTAAACAACAAGGCGCATCGTCCGTCCACTTGAATTATTATTCTGCAACAAAACAAAAGCACACATAGAGCACCAATTAGAAGGGATCCCGTATGGCAACAAAAAAACCATTTAGCCATTCATCGCCTGCTTACATGGTACAGAGGCATTTAGGCTACACAAATCTTGTAGATATGTGTGTGCAGAGAGAGAGATCACAAATCCATAGATGTGTGTGTAGAAAAAGAGATTAGGAGCGGAGGGGAAGCTCACCATGGGGTCTCCCCATCCCCAAAATCTGCCTGCCATGCCATGGAAGAGGCATGGAAAAGAAGGTGGGGTGGAGGCATAGGCGCTGCCGCCGCTCAGGGCAAAACAGAGGCGAGCCTAGAGGAGAGTCTGGCCTCCTCCCTGGCTGGGCGGCGGCGCTGCCTCCAGGAGGGCCGACCTGCTCCTTCACCTAGTTGCCCACCTCCTCTTCCCCTGCCCCTTCACCCCACCACCGGGCTCGCCTAACCCGCGCTCGATCTGGAACCAACAACGAAGAGAAGGAAGACGAGGTAGAGGGGCTAGCATGGTGGAGGAGGAATAGCAGGCGGCGGTGGGACTCCAGGGCGGAGGCCGTGGCGACGCGAGGAGGTGGTGGAGGAGAGGCGGCGGCGGGGCTCCAGAGCGGAGGCCGTGGTGACGCAAGGAGGGGGATGGAGGAGGGGAGCGGGAGGCTGTGGGGATCGAGGGAAAACAAGGCTAGGGTTTGTGTGATGGCTGGTGCGGGAGTGGGACGAGGCGAATTGGCTGCGGATGCATGGAGCGGATTGGTCAAAACCGTCTGCACGCGGCCACGACTGATCCAGCCAACCAGAGCACGAGACGAGCCCACCCGTCATAGGCCAGGGGAAATGACCGTGAAGTGAAAATCGATTTTAACTGTTGTGAAGATCCAACGGCTCAGGCGTGCCAGAAGCCAGATCGGACGACCGACGAAGGAGCTGATCGAGGGAGCCTCCTGGAGGTGAGTTGGCTAGTCTCTTTTTTGTTTTAAATCACTACAAAACCCAAAAGCATTACTTTTGCTACCGTTACCTTTATTATCATATTACTTTGCTACTAAATACTTTGCTGCAGATACTAAGTTATCCAGTTGTGGTTGAATTGACAACTCAACTGCTAATACTCAAGAATATTCTTTGGCTCCCCTTGTGTCGAATCAATAAATTTGGGTTGAATACTTTACCCTCGAAAGCTGTTGTGATTCCCTACACTTGTGGGTTATCACCCGACGCCTGGGACTTCGCCTCGCGGTGTCTCCAAAATCATCTCCCCCTGCTCCGGTATCCTCTGGGACAGCACCTCGGTGTCCACCGCGGGCCGGGGGGATTTTGCCATCGGGAGCGAATAGCTGTTCATCTCCGACGGACTCAAAGACCCATCTGAGGAGGATGCGCCTATATGGGCTTTGGACGGACTGCA